GCACACACAGTACACTCATTACTTACCTTAACCCTTTGACTGTTTTGGTCGTATATATACGTTTTACGAGCCAGTGTGTTTGACGTATATACGTTTACTCAAAAATTCTAGCGGCTTCAAATGAAGCAGGAGAAAGCTGGTAGGCCCACATGTGAGAGAATGGGTCTGTGTGGTCAGTGTGCGCAGTATAAAAAAATCCTGCAGCACTCGGTGCATAATGAGAAAAAATCTCCGACCGTGTTTTTGGATTGAAATGCCGACTTTGAGGTGTATTTTCGTATAGCATTTATGGTTGTCTTCTTGTTTTCTTGGTCTCATTTGATAGAATGGAAAACATATTATAGATATAGAAGTGATTTTGATTGGTTTTTCTATGAGAAGGATCTTGAAATGGAGCTCAAAATGGCAGGAATGTCCGACTTTTGCCGATGTTCAGGAGTAAACAAATGACGTCATTGTCCAATAAATGTCCAACTAGCCATTCTAATATGCAGTCACGAATGGGTTGATGTTATTTATACAATTATTACAATATTGCAATAGTCTGCATAACAGTAAATCTTCTATTTTTTGTGTGATTTTATAAAAATTCAAACTAGAAAGCAAGAGTATTATAACAGGGGCCTGGAGATGTGACTGATGAACAGAGAAAATGTTATTTTAGTGGCAGGAATGCCTGCATTGTACATTCTGGACCCTATTTTGAAACATACTGTATTTTTTAATTTGCATGAAATTGGCCAAATTGCCAAGTTCTGGCCACTTTATTGGGTAGTTGAAATCGGTAAATGGGCAGTTTCTTGTGCTCAATCGATAGAACAAATGGAGTTCTAAAGAAATAGCTATGAGTTTGGTGGACTGGAACAATGGAATTGGCCGAAAATAGGGCTCAAAGTGGGCGAAATCGCCGATGAGTAGATGTCGCCAAGGTCACCAAGTTTGCGAGAGCGTAATTCCGTAAGTTTTCCATCAAATTTCGTACTTTTGGTGTCATTATCATGGGGAAAAAATTCTCTATCATTTCATAAGAAATAATAATTTTTTTTTTCAAATACAGTGGACCCCCGGTTCCCGATGCTATCGGTATCCGATAAATCCGGTAGCCGATGCATTTGATCGAAAAAAATTTGCCTCGCTTCCCAATACAGAACCCGGTATGCGATACGATTCGTACGAGACGTGTCCAGTGTTTACAAGCCAGCCAGTGTGTGCGCATCTAAGGATACATTCGGTACATTCTATATTATCCATATTATCACCGTTTTTGGTGCTTGTTTCTGCAAAATAAGTCACCATGGGCCCCAAGAAGGCTTCTAGTGCCAACCCTTCGAGACCAAGGGTGCTAATGACTATTGAAATGAAGAAAGAGATAATTGCAAAGTATGAAAGTGGAGTGCGTGTATTGGAGCTGGTCAGGTTGTATAGTAAACCCCAATCAACCATCTCTACTATAGTGAGCAGGAAAACGGCAATCAAGGAAGCTGTTCTTGCAAAAGGTACAACTGTGATTACGAAAGAGCGACCACAAGTGTTAGAAAATGTTGAGAGACTGTTATTGGTGTGGATAAATGAAAAACAGATAGGAGGAGATAGCATCTCTCAAGCGATCATTTGTGAAAAGGCTAGGCAGTTGCATGACGATTTGGTAAAGAAATTGCCTGTAACTAGTGGTGATGTGAGTGAATTTAAGGCCAGCAAAGGTTGGTTTGAAAGATTTAAGAATCGTAGTGGCATACATAGTGTGATTAGGCATGGTGAGGCTGCCAGTTCAGACCACAAAGTGGCTGAAAAATATGTGCATGAATTCAAGGAGTACATAGAGACTGAAGGATTGAAACCTGAACAAGTGTTTGTGACAAAACAGGCCTGTTTTGGAAGAAATTGCCAAGCAGGACCTACATTACTCAGGAGGAAAAGCTACCTCAAGTCCTAATGGAGGGGGATTCCCCTTCTAAACAATAGGTTCAACACACTCCCCTCCTCCCATCCCATCAATCATCACCAGATCTTCATTAAAGGTAAGTGTCAATTATTCTATTGTTATTGTTGTTATTGTAATTATTCTATTGCATTAAACTTAATATTTCATGTGATAAAAGTTTTTTTTTTTTCATACTTTTGGGTGTCTTGCACGGATTAATTTGATTTCCATTATTTCTTATGGGGAAAATTGATTCGCTTTCCGATAATTTTGGTTTACGATGAGCTCTCAGGAATGGATTAATATCGCAAACCGGGGGTCCACTGTATTTTGCGACACCAGGAGACACTTCAGGATTTGGGGTTGCGACAGTCATTGGGTTAAAATATTTGCAGTGTTAATATAGGGTGAGAGATGAGTAAGCAAGATAAAAATGAACAAATGAGAGAAAGAGAGAGAGCGAGTAAGATGACAGAGCCGCAGAGTACTTATGTAAACAAACCATCTGGTTATGGTTGATGCACATTCATACAAAAACCTTACATTGTGTACAAGGTGTCTCTGCAGTGGTACAGTAGAATAAATAAAGACCAACACTTCCATTCTTATGTAATTTTTAGAAGGAATGATACTCTGACAAATTATTATTATTATTATTACAAATTTTTATTAAAAGTTGTTGTTATTACAAATTATTATTATAATCATAAAGAAGCACTAAACCCACAAGAACCATGAATAACTATAGAGTGAAAGTACAGTGGACCCCCGCTTAACGATCACCTCCGAATGCGACCAATTATGTAAGTGTATTTATGTAAGTGCGTTTGTATGTGTGTGTTTTGGGGTCTGAAATGGACTAATCTACTTCACAATATTCCTTATGAGAACAAATTCGGTCAGTACTGGCACCTGAACATACTTCTGGAATGAAAAAATATCGTTAACCGGGGGTCCACTGTATATGAAAGGAATAAATTTCTAGTTAAGATACTGGTGTTTGACTAGAGAAAATGTAATTCTTCCAACCCTCTCACCAACCACTTGGTAAACAAATCTCATATGTATGTCTATTTTTATACTGTGGGTGCATGTATCATGTTTGTATGTTACATAGCATATTTATTATATAATTTTGAAAAAATATCATAGATAGATTAATGGAAATGTCTATATTAACGTAATACTATATGACATTTAGTGTGCCCAAGAGATTACATGGCGTCAAGAGTAGAGAGACTTAGTGATTTTAATGTGTACCTACATGCCAGCACAGTGTGTAAGTATATTTAGGTACAGGTACACATAAGTATAATTATCAGAGTACATGTATACATAAAATACACAATAACTTTAAAACACTTGAAATTTTGGAACATTTCCAGACATAATAGATGTGCTCACAGAGAATGTAAGCAAACCAGGTGGGGCACACCATATTTGAAAGACTGCTTGCTGTAAAGCAAATTTTGGTCATAATTTGAAATCGCTGTACAGTGAACCCCCGACATTCGATGGCATCAACATTCGATAAATCCGACATTCGATGCATTTTAATGCAAAAATTTCGCCTCGACATTCGATGGAAAACCCGACATTCGATACGATTCGTTCGAGACTTGTCCACGTGTGGCCTGAACTGCCCCGTGTGTGCCATTGTTTACAAGCCAGCCAGTGTGCGCGCATCTAAGGATACATTTGGTACATTCCATATTATCACTGTTTTTGTGCTTGTTTCTGCAAAATAAGTCACCATGGGCCCCAAGAAAGCTTCTAGTGCCAACCCTGTGGTAAAAAGGGTGAGAATTAGTATGGAAATTAAGAAAGATTTTGAAGAGTTTGGGGCTAACCCTGAGAAGCCTATGCCAGTTGTGGACTCCATTGTGCCTACTTCAAAAATTAAGCAAATGTGTGCAAAGTGGGTTGAACTGCAAACCTTTATGGATGAAAATCACCCTAACACAGCTATTGCAAGCCGTGCTGGTGACTATTGCAATGACAATGTTATGGCCCATTTTAGACAAATCTTAAAGGAATGGCAACAGAGGTCCAGTGACTCTCAAGCTGGTCTTAGTGGCATTAAAAGAAGGGAAGTAACCCCGGAAAAGGACTTGCTACCTCAAGTCCTAATGGAAGGGGATTCCCCTTCTAAACAGTAACAACTTCGACACTCTCCCCTCCCATCCCATCAGTCATCACCAGATCTTCATTAAAGGTAAGTGTCAATTATTCTGTTGTTATTATTCTATTGTTATTGTTGTTATTGTAATTATTCTATTGCATTAAACTTAATATTTCATGTGGTAAATTTTTTTTTTTCGTACTTTTGGGTGTCTTGCATGGATTAATTTGATTTCCATTATTTCTTATGGGGAAAATTAATTTGACTTTCGATATTTTCAACATTCGATAGCTCTCAGGAACAGATTAGTATCGAATGTCGAGGGTCCACTGTATTAGCCATACGCTGTAAGGCGAAACTCCGTAAAGCGGGGCACTACTGTGTATAATAATCTGGGATTTTATAATTTTTGAGCTTCTGTTCCTTCAAGAAATGTACAAATGGTTGCACTTCAAATCATAAATTAAACTTCAATAAGAAAAGAATGCTAAAGTTTATATTCAAGAATGATATATCGTATGATCGTCAGGATTGTAAGCTTTAGACAAGAAATGTGCTCTCAACTGAGACTTAAAAATTTCAACAGATTCCTGACTTTCAGCAGATTCCTGACTTGATATGTAAACTTTTTACTGATTCTAAAAATTCTGGAGTGCAGTAAATATTCAGAATTAAAAATTTCATTAAATAGCTTTTTATTTGACCTTGTACATTGCATCACAAATTCCATGACTTGTTATTAGATAGATACATTGAGAAATGTGCTACACTTTACTGTATATCAAATTCCTCACCCTTGTTCTCTCCCTTTACCAGCTTTGTGTATCTCCAGTAAAATTTACAGAAACCATGTACAGTAAGGTGAACATTACCTCAGTGTAGTAGTTGCACAGAATATACTGCACAGTTCTTTATTAAAATTTGAGAGCTAAGCTAGGTTTTATTTAATTTATTCAGGTGGCAGGTAACTCCCCTTCAACATCTACAGCTTATTTAGAGACTAGACTTTCTCCTAAGCCTTGGAACTACAGGTGTAAACATTCCTAATAATATCTAGTGCAAATGTATCCAAAGCTAAATTGAAAATGAATGTGTGTGTTGTACATGGTCAGAGGTAAAACCGAGAGTGGCAACTAAATATGATCAGTGTGTGTGATGGGATGTGTGTATTGTATCATGGCTACACTTGAGAATGAGTGTATTGTATCATGGCTACACTTGAGAATGAGTGAAACTGACAACATAGTTATTGAGCTATTTGTATTTAGTGTATAAGCAATTTAATTTAAAAAAAGAGAAAGACTTGTACATGTATCAGGTGAAATGTTCAAGCAAGTGACTGTGTGATTAATTGGGAGTACAAATGTGCTCTTCATTGTAGGCAGTATTTTACAGTTCAAAAAATATATAAAATGTTTGGAATATTTATATATAGAAATGATTTGGAGAGCAGGAGTTAGTAACCAGAATAGTTTTGTACTTTACAGTATTTGTAAATGGAAGTTTTTTACTAATGTTTTTATTGTACAAATCAATTAAAAATTTACTAAAGATAATTGTTTATTTAAATTGTTCCTGCATTCTTATCTTTATTACTTATTATAAGCCTTTTATTAAACACTGTATTTTCTGTGATGTGTCACACCCCAGCATTATGTGCACCATAATTTTTGAAGGATTTTTTTGTGAATGTATGTCTGTAAGTACAATGCCTGCACTTAAAAGGAGGAGTTTGGGATATTGGCAGTTTGGAGGGATATGTTGTGTATCTTTATATGTATATGCTTCTAAACTGTTGTATTCTGAGCACCTCTGCAAAAACAGTGATTATGTGTGAGTGTGGTGAAAGTGTTGAATGATGATGAAAGCATTTTCTTTTTGGGGATTTTCTTTCTTTTTTGGGTCACCCTGCCTCGGTGGGAGACGGCCGTTTTGTTGAAAAAAATAAAAAAAATGTCTGTTATTAAAAATGCACAGTGCTACTACAGTTAAATTACTGGCATGCAAGATGTAGTAAAAGTGAGTGAGAGAGAGAGCAGTACCTGGAGTGAAGGAGAGTCATACCTGTAGTAGTGAGTTGACTTCACACTTGGAATTTGTCACTACTGTATTATTACCTGTGAACCCTATATCACTTCACTCTCATGCGTAGTTATAACAATGTAGCACTGACAGTTTAGAAGTGTTGTGGAGCGTGGTGGTCTGTTGTGGAGCGTGGTCTGTTGTGGAGGGTGGTGGTCTGTTGTGGAGGGTGGTGGTCTGTTGTGGAGCGTGGTCTGTTGTGGAGCATGGTGGTCTGTTGTTGAGGGTGGTGGTCTGTTGTGGAGGGTGGTGGTCTGTTGTGGAGTGTGGTGGTCTGTTGTGGAGCGTGGTCTGTTGTGGAGTGTGGTGGTCTGTTGTGGAGGGTGGTGGTCTGTTGTGGAGGGTGGTGGTCTGTTGTGGAGCATGGTGGTCTGTTGTGGAGCATGGTGGTCTGTTGTTGAGGGTGGTGGTCTGTTGTGGAGGGTGGTGGTCTGTTGTGGAGGGTGGTGGTCTGTTGTGGAGCATGGTGGTCTGTTGTGGAGGGTGGTGGTCTGTTGTGGAGGGTGGTGGTCTGTTGTTGAGGGTGGTGGTCTGTTGTGGAGGGTGGTGGTCTGTTGTGGAGGGTGGTGGTCTGTTGTGGAGGGTGGTGGTCTGTTGTGGAGGGTGGTGGTCTGTTGTGGAGCGTGGTGGGTCTGTTGTGGAGGGTGGTGGTCTGTTGTGGAGGGTGATGGTCTGTTGTGGAGGGTGGTGGTCTGTTGTTGAGGGTGGTGGTCTGTTGTTGAGGGTGGTGGTCTGTTGTTGAGGGTGGTGGTCTGTTGAGGGTGGTGGTCTGTTGTTGAGGGTGGTGGTCTGTTGTTGAGGGTGGTGGTCTGTTGTGGAGGGTGGTGGTCTGTTGTTGAGTGTGGTGGTCTGTTGGTGGAGGGTGGTGGTCTGTTGTGGAGGGTGGTGGTCTGTTGTTGAGTGTGGTGGTCTGTTGTGGAGGGTGGTGGTCTGTTGTGGAGGGGGTGGTCTGTTGTGGAGGGTGGTGGTCTGTTGTGGAGCATGGTGGTCTGTTGTGGAGGGTGGTGGTCTGTTGTGGAGCATGGTGGTCTGTTGTGGAGGGTGGTGGTCTGTTGTGGAGGGTGATGGTCTGTTGTGGAGGGTGGTGGTCTGTTGTTGAGGGTGGTGGTCTGTTGTTGAGGGTGGTGGTCATGTTGTTGAGGGTGGTGGTCTGTTGAGGGTGGTGGTCTGTTGTTGAGGGTGGTGGTCTGTTGTTGAGGTGGTGGTCTGTTGTGGAGGGTGGTGGTCTGTTGTAGAGGGTGGTGGTCTGTTGTGGAGGGTGGTGGTCTGTTGTTGAGGGTGGTGGTCTTGTTGTTGAGGGTGGTGATCTGTTGTTGAGGGTGGTGGTCTGTTGTTGAGGGTGGTGGTCTGTTGTGGAGGGTGGTGGTCTGTTGTGGGGGGTGGTCTGTTGTGGAGGGTGGTGGTTGTTGTTGAGGGTGGTGGTCTGTTGTGGAGGGTGGTGGTCTGTTGTGGAGGGTGGTGGTCTGTTGTGGATTGTGGTGGTCTGTTGTTGAGGTGGTGGTCTGTTGTTGAGGGTGGTGGTCTGTTGAGGGTGGTGGTCTGTTGTTGAGGGTGGTGGTCTGTTGTTGAGGGGGTGTGTCTGTTGTGGAGGGTGGTGATCTGTTGTGGAGGGTGGTGGGTCTGTTGTGGAGGGTGGTGGTCTGTTGTGGAGGGTGGTGGTCTGTTGTGGAGCATGGTGGTCTGTTGTGGAGGGTGGTGGTCTGTTGTGGAGGGTGGTGGTCTGTTGTGGAGGGTGGTGGTCTGTTTGTTGAGGGTGGTGGTCTGTTGTTGAGGGTGGACTGTTGTGGAGGGTGGTGGTCTGTTGTTGAGGGTGGTGGTCTGTTGTTGAGGGTGGTGGTCTGTTGTGGAGGGTGGTGGTCTGTTGTGGAGGGTGGTCTGTTGTGGAGGGTGGTGGTCTGTTGTGGAGGGTGGTGGTCTGTTGTGGAGGGTGGTGGTCTGTTGTGGAGGGTGGTGGTTGTTGTGGAGCATGGTGGTCTGTTGTTGAGGGTGGTGGTCTGTTGTTGAGGGTGGTGGTCTGTTGTTGAGGGTGGTGGTCTGTTGTTGAGGGTGGTGGTCTGTTGTGGAGGGTGGTGGTCTGTTGTGGAGGGTGGTGGTCTGTTGTGGAGGGTGGTGGTCTGTTGTGGAGGGTGGTGGTCTGTTGTGGAGGGTGGTGGTCTGTTGTGGAGGGTGATGGTCTGTTGTGGAGGGTGTGTGGTCTGTTGTTGAGGGTGGTGGTCTGTTGTTGAGGGTGGTGGTCTGTTGTTGAGGGTGGTGGTCTGTTTGTTGAGGGTGGTGGTCTGTTGTTGAGGGTGGTGGTCTGTTGTGGAGGGTGGTGGTCTGTTGTAGAGGGTGGTGGTCTGTTGTGGAGGGTGGTGGTCTGTTGTTGAGGGTGGTGGTCTGTTGTTGAGGGTGGTGATCTGTTGTTGAGGGTGGTGGTCTGTTGTTGAGGGTGGTGGTCTGTTGTGGAGGGTGGTGGTCTGTTGTGGGGGGTGGTCTGTTGTGGAGGGTGGTGGTCTGTTGTTGAGGGTGGTGGTCTGTTGTTAAGGGTGGTGGTCTGTTTGTGGAGGGTGGTGGTCTGTTGTGGAGGGTGGTGGTCTGTTGTGGATTGTGGTGGTCTGTTGTTGAGGGTGGTGGTCTGTTGTTGAGGGTGGTGGTCTGTTGAGGGTGGTGGTCTGTTTGTTGAGGGTGGTGGTCTGTTGTTGAGGGTGGTGGTCTGTTGTGGAGGGTGGTGATCTGTTGTGGGAGGGTGGTGGTCTGTTGTGGAGGGTGGTGGTCTGTTGTGGAGGGTGGTGGTCTGTTGTGGAGCATGGTGGTCTGTTGTGGAGGGTGGTGGTCTGTTGTGGAGGGTGGTGGTCTGTTGTGGAGGGTGGTGGTCTGTTGTTGAGGGTGGTGGTCTGTTGTTGAGGGTGGACTTGTGGAGGGTGGTGGTCTGTTGTTGAGGGGTGGTGGTCTGTTGTTGAGGGTGTGTGGTCTGTTGTGGAGGGTGGTGGTCTGTTGTGGAGGGTGGTCTGTTGTGGAGGGTGGTGGTCTGTTGTGGAGGGTGGTGGTCTGTTGTGGAGGGTGGTGGTCTGTTGTGGGAGGGTGGTGGTCTGTTGTGGAGGGTGGTGGTCTGTTGTGGAGCATGGTGGTCTGTTGTTGAGGGTGGTGGTCTGTTGAGGGTGGTGATGTGTTGTGGAGGGTGGTGGTCTGTTGAGGGTGGTGATGTGTTGTGGAGGGTGGTGGTCTGTTGTGGAGGGTGGTGGTCTGTTGTGGAGGGTGGTGGTCTGTTGTGGAGGGTGGTGGTCTGTTGTGGAGGGTGGTGGTCTGTTGTAGAGGGTGGTGGTCTGTTGTGGAGGGTGGTGGTCTGTTGTTGAGGGTGTGGTCTGTTGTGAAGGTGGTGATCTGTTGTTTGAGGGTGGTGGTCTGTTGTTGAGGGTGGTGGTCTGTTGTGGAGGGTGGTGGTCTGTTGTGGGGGGTGGTCTGTTGTGGAGGGTGGTGGTCTGTTGTTGAGGGTGGTGTCTGTTGTGGAGGGTGGTGGTCTGTTGTGGATTGTGGTGGTCTGTTGTTGAGGGTGGTGGTCTGTTGTTGAGGGTGGTGGTCTGTTGTTGAGGGTGGTGGTCTGTTGTTGAGGGTGGTGGTCTGTTGTTGAGGGTGGTGGTCTGTTGTGGAGGGTGGTGATCTGTTGTGGAGGGTGGTGGTCTGTTGTGGAGGGTGGTGGTCTGTTGTGGAGGGTGGTGGTCTGTTGTGGAGCATGGTGGTCTGTTGTGGAGGGTGGTGGTCTGTTGTTGAGGGTGGTGGTCTGTTGTTGAGGGTGGTGGTCTGTTGTGGAGGGTGGTGGTCTGTTGTTGAGGGTGGTGGTCTGTTGTTGAGGGTGGACTGTTGTGGAGGGTGGTGGTCTGTTGTTGAGGTGGTGGTCTGTTGTTGAGGGTGGTGGTCTGTTGTGGAGGGTGGTGGTCTGTTGTGGAGGGTGGTCTGTTGTGGAGGGTGGTGATGTGTTGTGGAGGGTGGTGATGTGTTGTTGAGGGTGGTGGTGTGTTGTGGAGGGTGGTGGTGTGTTGTGGAGGGTGGTGGTGTGTTGTGGAGGGTGGTGTGTGTGTTGTGGAGGGTGGTGGTCTATTGTGGAGGTTGGTGATGTGTTGTGGAGGGTGGTGGTGTGTTGTGTAGGGTGGTGATGTGTTGTTGAGGGTGGTGATGTATTGTGGAGGGTGGTGGTGTGTTGTGGAGGGTGGTGATGTGTTGTGGAGGGTGGTGATGTGTTGTGGAGGGTGGTGATGTGTAGTGGAGGGTGGTGATGTGTAGTGGAGGGTTGTGGTGTGTTGTGGAGGGTGGTGGTGTGTTGTGGAGAGTGGTGGTGCATTGTGGAGGGTGGTGATGTTGTGGAGGGTGGTGGTGTGTTGTGGAGGGTGGTGGTGTGTTGTGGAGGGTGGTGGTGTGTTGTGTGTTGTGGAGGGTGGTGGTGTGTTGTGGAGGGTGGTGGTGTGTTGTGGAGGGTGGTGGAGTGTTGTGGAGGGTTGTGATGTGTTGTGGAGGGTGGTGATGTGTTGTGGAGGGTGGTGGTGTGTTGTGGAGGGTGGTGGTGTATTTTGGAGGGTGGTGATGTGTTGTGGAGGGTGGTGATGTGTTGTGGAGGGTGGTGATGTGTTGTGGATGGTGGTGGTGTGTTGTGGGGGTGGTGGTGTGTTGTGGAGGGTGGTGGTGTGTTGTGGAGGGTGGTGGTGTGTTTTGGAGGGTGGTGATGTGTTGTGGAGGGTGGTGATGTGTTGTGGAGGGTGGTGATGTGTAGTGGAGGGTGGTGGTGTGTTGTGGAGGGTGGTGGTGTGTTGTGGAGAGTGGTGGTGCGTTGTGGAGAGTGGTGGTGCATTGTGGAGGGTGGTGATGTTGTGGAGGGTGGTGGTGTGTTGTGTGTTGTGGAGGGTCGTGTGTTGTGGAGGGTGGTGGTGTGTTGTGGAGGGTGATGATGTGTTGTGGAGGGTGGTGGAGTGTTGTGGAGGGTTGTGATGTGTTGTGGAGGGTGATGGTGTTTTGTGGAGGGTCGTGTGTTGTGGAGGGTGGTGATGTGTTGTGGAGGGTGGTGGTGTGTTGTGGAGGGTGGTGGTGTGTTTTGGAGGGTGGTGTTGTGCTGTGGAGGGTGGTGTGTTGTGGAGGGTGGTGGTGTGTTGTGGAGGATGGCGATGTGTTGTGCAGGGTGGTGGTGTGTTGTGGAGGTTGGTGTGTTGTGGAGGGTGGCGATGTGTTGTGCAGGTTGGTGGTTTGTTGTGGAGGGTGGTGATGTGTTGTGGAGAGTGGTGGTGTGTTGTGGAGAGTGGTGGTGTGTTGTGGAGGGTGGTGGTGTGTTGTGGAGGGTGGTGATGTGTTGTGGAGGGTGGTGATGTGTTGTGGAGGGTGCTGATGTGTTGTGGAGGGTGGTAATTTGTTGTGGAGGGTGCTGATGTGTTGTGGAGAGATGTGTTGTGGAGGGTGCTGATGTGTTGTGGAGGGTGGTAATTTGTTGTGGAGGGTGGTGATGTGTTGTGGAGGGTGGTAATTTGTTGTGGAGGGTGCTGATGTGTTGTGGAGGGTGCTGATGTGTTGTGGAGGGTGGTGTAGAGGGTGCTGATGTGTTGTAGAGGGTGGTAGGTCCTACCCATCGCTTTGGGTAGGACCTACTTCCACTGGGGAATCGTGCCTACCAGTGACTATGCCCTCTTCTGCTACACATCCCATTTCCACCTGACGTTAGTATATAAGCGCCAGGCTCCTTACTTCTGCTTCAGAATCTCCTTGACTACGGTGCTCTTCACACCAACTCCAAGGTTGAGGGACTGATTACCTCATCTTCCGTATATAGTTCTACTGTCTTCAAGTTATGTCCTGGAATTTGTATTGATAAAGCCACTGGATGGCAAAACGTCTACAATAAAGATACCCAGATGTTGCACATATCTTAATTTCATCTTGTTGGTATTTTATACCATTCTTGTACAATTTGAATGGTTTTCTCTATTCAAAGCAGGATGAGCATCAGTTGAGGATGAATGCTCTGATAATCTATCAGTGTCAAAAACAGATGCCAGCACTGAAAATGTAAGGAGGGCTATTCATGAAGATATTCATCAGAGTATCCAGGATATTGTAAGTGCTGTTGGAATTTCTTAACGGTCATGTCTAAGAATTTTAACAAAATTTGATCATGAGAGTGGTTGTTGAATCTTTGCTCTGTTTGCTGACTCAAGACCAG